TCAGTCAGACCCAGCTTCTGCTCATGCGGTGCTGACTCCAGCACCGTCAGTGGAAGATACTGTTGGATGAGCGCAAAAGGGTCTGGCCGCTCTCTGTGCTCCATTCTCCTTCTGCTCCTGCAGCATCTACTGCTGTTGCACAAGGGATGTATCTCTGCTGACTACTCTGTAGACCCGCTGTCCATGAGTTTGTTTAATCCCTTCTTCCACCTGCTGATGTTGTGTCTCTCCACAGTGTCCTGGAGCAGCAAGCTCCAGAAGTTCACTGCCTGCTGGGTGAAGAAGTGTTTCATTTCATCTGCTTTAAATTTATACTATACTAGTTCCATCATCTGTCACTAGTCCTGGTGTTGTGGGATATGATGAACAAGTTATGCTGGAAGTTCAGTTGGTGCTGTTCACACTAAGATGTACTCTGTGGATGAAAATAATAAAAATTAAGCAATACATTGGAGTAATTATTTGTGTCTACATTCTGACATACAACTTCTGAATAGCGGTGTAGTGAGCTTCCTTCCTTCTCAGAAAGTTCTAGGCGTTTTAGATTTAGCATTTAGTATTTCGCATTGTGTATTTGGATCATCTGCTCTTTCCTATTTGTAAATGTGAGAGAAAGCCTGTTGGAAGCCTGGCTTTTAAAAAGCTGGCTTGCTACCAAGGTTTGTGCATACCTGTCTTGGGAGGAAAAAGACTTGACAAGATCTGAGTTCAATTCATGGTTCACTTCATGGAGCCATAGACTTCTCCGTTGCTTGCAATTTTTTTTTTTTTTTTTTTTTTTTGGGGGGGGCTGAGCTTTTAATCTGCAAAGTGGAGTTAGTAGCTTTCTTTAAGTCAGGGTTCCTCATAAAATTTACAAGTATGTAGCAGGTAGGTTGTGCAGAAATACGGCTACTGGAATTTTAGGTGTTAATTTGCAAATGAAAGATATCACAGATCTATGATAAATGGGTTAAATTGCACAAATGTAAACAATGAATGAAGAATCTTATCAACCCTTCATGGTTTTTCACCTTCAGAATCTGGTTGAATTTAACTAACACGATGCTTATAAAATGAAGCTTGCATGGTTTTGTCTGGATGTGAGTGCAAAGCAGATGGTGTCAGCTTTCTGTCCACCAGTTGGGCCACTGGCATCTAAGCCACGATTTATAATAGTTTATACCATTCTGATCTTTCTTCTGAGGAGAAAGTGCTGTGCATACCAGAGTGATGGTTTTATGATGTTGGCAAGTACTTGCAGGAGTCTAAGTTGAATCCATCAGACTTCTGTTTGCTTGTGGCCTAATCCCAGTTTGAATCTGAACCTCCCCTGCTGAAAGATGCACTCTGTTCATCTGCACGGCACTTTGAAAGGATTCGTGTGTTTGAATTTTTCAGTTTCTCCTTCTGGATCCAGAGTCAGAAATGGCTAGCTGGCTGCTAGTCGCAGCAGATATGGATGTTGTAACTTGTAAGGAGATCTGCTGGAGCCAGGATATTCTGCATTCCTGTCTGTCACTGGTTGTTTTCTGGTTAGAGAGCTCACAAAGAAAAAAAAACATGAACTGCTAAAGCGATGGAGAAGATGGGGTTTCTGTGCTCCTTTTTGTTTCTGTTTCATGATGAAGTTTAAAAGGGTCTATGAAGAGGTAAGGTAAAGGACTGTGATTTCCTGAATTTCTACAAGAGCATCTGTACTGTGCTGGACCAGTACAGATCCACCTGAGCCAGTGTACCGATTTCCCATGGTGGGCAGTAAGGAGTGTTTAATGAGGATCATAAGAACTTAGGTGAATAATGCTATAAACTGATTGTGAACACTCATTTCCCATCAGTTGGTGCTTACTGTCCTCCTGAGCTGGGAGGAATACTGGGCTTGTGGACGTATCTGCTGTTGCTCAGCGTAACCCCCTTTTAATCTCTTTGCATTCTTGCCTCTGATGTCCTTTGCAGTGTGTTCCTCTGCTGACCTGTGTGTTGCCACTGCCTGCATCTTGTGCAGAGTCAGGCATGTGGCAGAGGGGCAGAAAGGGGAGATCATTTGTTTGGTGCTTAGCACCGAGGGAATCTGTCTCTGATGACGTAGCTGTGGAGCAGAGGGAGAGGTTTAGGAGCCCTTCACCTGCCCGTCTTGCCCACAGGTTTTGTAACCTATGTCAGGTTTGACGTTGAATTAGTTTCAAATCAAACAAATAGAAATCCATAGCAAGCCCTGAAAGAAGGATCTTCAGAGATTGCCAGTGAATATTACAGGGAGAGAACTAACAGGGAGTTCACTACAAATTTTGTGTGTCCTTCCCTTAAGGCAATCTTTAAAAGATCCTGAATGTTAGTATGTTTTACTTGGTGCTCTCAGAAATGTCTTTGTAGCAAGTTTAATTTCATTCTCTTTCAACATACTTCTTGGGTTTTCCCCAAACAACTGTTTGAGGGAGCAACATCTTTTCTGTGGTCCGCTTACTACTCTTGCAACAAGGCAAGTTTGTGCTTGCTTTTGGGCTGCTGCTTTTGCCTGGGAGCAGTTTTCTTTAAGTGGTGACAGGCACTGGGGTTATAGTCCGATACTGGAGCTCTTAGGTGCTTCTATACTCCTCCTACTACTAGAAAATGTGAGCTTAATCAAGTAGTAATTAAAAAGGTGTTGAAAGTAGTGAGGGGGAGCCTCCATTAGAAACTCCTGAGTTCTTCAGACACCTTAGTTTAACTAGACAAATAAACCAAAGTATAATTTTAAGTACACTTCAGAAGTACTGTTCATATGCTGCCCTTAAAAAAGGGAAATACTAGAGTAATATGTTCTGCAAAGACTCCCAAGTCTGCTGCCTCAACTGAGGGTCCCCTGGGCAGGACAGTGTGCGAGTTAAAGAAAAAAGACATTCTACTTCAAAAGAAAAAGCTTTCCAAAACTGAGAAGATTAAATACAACAAGTGAGATATGGTCTGCATTTGCTCCCTTCTGATTATAACCTTCGTACTGTCCCCATGTATTTTTACCTGACAAAGACAGGGGATGTTTATTAACATACACTGTGATAACTGGCGTGTAGAAATCATCTTGCTTTAGTTGTTCATTTATGCAGCATTTTCTGAAAGACCAAGCAATTAAGATCAGATTTTTTTTTCTTTTTCAAAGGAAAAGAGGAGAAAAATCTTTTTTTTTTCCTTTGTATCTCAAAACTATAAAATTGTACATAGCTTCTCGGAGGATGTGCATGCCCTCAACATGGGCTTTCGCTGTAAACTAGTTTATTTTGGTTTGAAACATTTACACCTTAGGAAAAAGGATATGTTGTAGAGTTGTCATGGGTTCCTGTGCCAAAAATGTGGTGCCTGAAAGAAAATTCTGTTCTTCTATTCATAATCATTTTAATCTTTCTGCAGACCTACAACAGCTGTGCCAGACTCTGCTTAAACCAGGAAACAGTATGTCTAGGAAGCACGGCTATGAAGACTGAAAATTGTGTGGCCAAAGTAAGTAAGAGAACAGCTTTGGTTTTGAGGGTGTTTTAGCAGATTGTTCACTGATAATCGAAGAAAAGGTCTTGTTAAAAATTACAGTTGAAAAAAACAAAACAAAACAGAAAGCAGGTAATTTGGGTAGACATTTCTGTCCTTCAGTGTAGAGTTTTCAGACTTGCTGTTTGTTGGAAATCATTCCTTGAGACCTGAGCTATCTAGGGTTGAAGGGTTCATTCTGCTATAGAAGTAATAGGCTTTTCCAGTGGGATGACCTTTGCCTGCCATGTAATTAGCCGTGGCAACTTCAAATGATAAATGTCCAGATATATGCTAAAAATACTGCATGAGGGCTCTCTGCATCATGGTTCCCTTTCTTAGCTACCAGAAGAGGTGCAGAAAGAAAGACCTTTCAATTAAAATGCAGTCCATGCTGTATTTAAGGGAAAAGGAGGAGGGAGATATGGCAGTCAGAATGGTGAGAAAATAGATATATTAGCCCATCAGAGAAAAGTAATTCCTTGAGAATTGTAGTAGATGTCATTGGAAAAGATGAGGTGCCATTAGCCACTCTCTTTTCTTAAAATTCAGTGTAACTAGAGTAAAATAACATACGTGTAGGGCTGTTTGTGAATGGGAAACATTTGAACTGTGATGCATTCTGTATAGAAAGGCTGCACGAAGGATGCGTTTGGCCTTGTGTAAGCTTTGGATTTCCACTGAAAGGAAGTTTAGAACGGGCATGCAGGACAGAGCAGTGCACGCAGCCATCTGTTACTGAAACCAGCTGGCATTTTGTTGCTCCTCTGTCACCACAAACCTTACCACTCAAAAGCCTGTTTTCTCTTTAGGTTATTTATTCCTTGATCTTCTTGAAATCCTTTTTTTTTTTTTTTTTTTTTTTTCTCCATACTTTGAATGGTTGTTAAAGGTCCCTTGTCCCTTCGGGGCCCACTTTTGTATTGACCTTTAAGATAATTTTCCAGCTAAATCTTTGCTGGGATTTTGCTGGTGAAATTTGGATGTCCCATTACTTTTGTTTCCTGACAGAAAGTTTCCCATTATAAAAGTTTGTCATGATGCTTGCAGGTTGCTCAGTCCTTGTAAACTGTGCTTGATGTACCAAGTTACTTTCCAGTGTAGAAGCACTTCTGAGAGAAGCTACCAATCTTGGTACAAAGTGCTAATATTTAATACTGACATTTCAGTTCTTAGCATGAGACAACTGGTATTGCACACTGCTTCCTAAGGCACTTCATGATACAAAGTAGGTGAAACTCTTTGCTCAAAGCACCAGAGCAGCTCTGTGTTATATCAGTGGACAGCATCATTCTGATGCCATGAAGTAACTCACAGCAAGCTAACTAGAGTATCTGCTTTATAGCATCTTGTTTGACCTGGTCATCTTGATAAGGAGCAAGGATGTGCAAGAACTACAGCTAATTTAAGTTATGCCTCTTTTAAATGAAATGACGTACCTTTAACATCCTAATACACTAAATAATAAACTCTCCTAAAATTATGTTTCAGTGGTATCACGATAAGAGGTGTGGGTAGGGCTCAAAACAGGAGCAATAAGACTTATATTTCATGTTATTGAGGATGAATTTGAACCATCACCCTGGAGATGAAAAAGTGTATGTTTTTAAGTGGTGTGTCTCTGTATGCTGTAGGACAATCTGCCATCACACACACATATATATATATGAAAAAACATATATGTATATATGTATGTATACACACACACACTTGTGTATATATATATATATATATGAAAAAAAACATAAGGACTTTTCTGGGGATATAATTCCTCTCGTATTAGCTTGCCTGGCTATTGTACTCCTTTCCTTTGCTTTCCCAGCTACAAACCAAAATGAAATAGGTTCTAAGAAAGCTTGTCTTTCAAATTCCAGAAGTGTTGAAGTATTTATAAATCCAGTTAGCTAGATGCAGATGACTCAGTGATGGCATAGGCAAATGGCACAGCTGTTAGATGTTCCCTAGGTGAAGGGCTTAAATGGGATTTAAGGAGTTGAGGCCTCCTCCTAGCCTTATGCGCATGGTGAGTTTTATCCTCCATGATTGATGTGTCTTACAGCCTTGGACTTTAAAATGTTTTGTCAAGAGGATGAATACTGGAAAGTATAACTGTGGGTTTCTTTATCTGCAGCATTTTTGGAAAAGGGTTTTCAACTTTTTTTTAAACTGGCATTGAAAGATATTGGAAGGATTACTTTGGAAATAATGATTTTTTTTCTGATTCTGCAGTGCAGTATCAGCCCTGACTGGGAGCCACAGGCAGCATTATCACTTGCTTGTCGGAGCGTCAATCAGTCTGCAAGGGATAACGTTTTTTCCGAAAACTGAATTTCTGATTCTGCACCTACTTGCAAAAAAGCAAATTGTGCTGTGTTAAGACTGTATTAATGCCATTTGCTGATCGTGAGCCTGATGCTTCTAAAGTTTGTTCAAAGAGTGATGTACGGTTTCCCTTGAGGCCACACACATCAATATTGAGGTAGCTTTTTTCAGACTGAAGCACTGTCCATCCATCATGCTCTTTTGTGAAAGAATGCTTCTGTACAGGACCATCAGGTGTAACTTTCTAGCCTAACAACTGGCACTCTTTCTAAAATGGAGGGGAAATAAGTTTATTATAAACATATATGCATTTTCAAGTACGGAGAGTAGTGTAGGGCTGCTGTCTTTTTGATCACTCAGGGAAGTCAGTGTTTGTTAGGAAATCTTGTCTGCTCAGTCTTCTGTACAGTGCTATGCTGACTGTGCAGCCCGGTGCTCTGTGGCTTTTGCAGACCTATGGATTAGGTAGTTTATTCAGGCATTTAAAAATAAAACTAGAATATCACATTCTGGTGAATCTTTGTATTTTGTTCTTAGCCATACTTTTCTGGTATTTGTCCTCTGAAACTCCATTGATAGGACTTGGGCATATTTGGGTAGAAGCAAATAAGCAGTAGAAATTTTCAAGTGTGCTCATGTTTTGACTAAAGAGGTGGGATCTTGAATTAAAAATTATATATTGTGATGCAGACATGTCACTTGTGTGATAACATGGGTTCTTCTCCATCCTTGGGAGTTTTTCCATTAATGTTTTGGCATCTTTTTTCCCCATTGTTTTTGAGTGATCAACAGGTCTGATGTATATTTAACCTAATGTCTTTGAAAAGGAAATGCAATCTCTAATTGTGTTTCCAATGTGTGTACACACACACACACACACACACACACACACAATGTGCATACAAAATCCTCCTGTTTGTCTCTGTAGAAACCAAAAAATGTCTGTGAGAGGATTTCTTTTTATGATACTACTGGTGTGCAACCACAAGCGGACAACTTTCTCAGGAACTGATGCTAGGTGCTTAAATAAGGTAGAAATGTAGCATGAACCTGAGCTCCAAGGACAGGGTGTTTGGTTTTAATGAGGCTTATTGAAATCTGGCCAAATGAGCATCTGTTCCTATTGTTTGTTCCATATTTTGTAAGCCAGTATCTTCAGGCCAGATAATGGTGTTGGTGTGAGCTTCATCCTCAATTAGAGAGGGGCACATATAAAAATCCCCTGGCATCTGGTATGTCACTAGGATTCTTGTGATGCTCCTGGGTGTGCAAACAAGTTTCTCTTCTGTTCTACGTCCAGGACCACTTACTTTCTGTGGTGACCTTCACTCTTTCTATTTGCTGTGCGGTGGGGGATGCTCTGATGTGTCTTCAGTCTCCTTGGCTGAGTCTTTGCTTGGATGGGTTATATATATTCCTCTTTTCAAACACACATCTTAACTTTTCACCCTTCCATAATGTGGGCTGTATTAGGTTTGAGTTTTACTGTTCACCTGGAGTCTGTTAGATTTTGCACTTCCCTGGATCATGGAAATATCCTTCTGATTCAAAGTGACCTTTTCTTTCCCAGCAAGAGACTGGTGTACAGCTGATCTTGCAGAGTTCTACAGTCAATACCCATTTCCTGTATTCATTAGATAGGTCTTTACTGTTTATTAACTCCTGCAGTCAGTTCCAGTTCATCTGTATCTCCTACATAAAGGAGTGTTCTCAGTTTTATTTTACATATTGAATTCTTTCCTACATGTGCCAGAGATAGGCACCCTATGGCATACCTGCCAGAGACAGCACAAAGACACCTTCTAAATGGCATACAACATCCCCAGGTTTCTACTTAGTTCTGAACTCAGCAGCAGCTGCCTCTATCTTTATGTGAGATAAGTGAAAATGAAGGAAAAAAAATCCAGTCAAGCACACTTCCCTTCAAAAATCAGACTTCTGTTTCAGGCCACTCCTTGCTACCACATGTGATAACTGGTCCTGCTTTTTAAGGTCCCAACAAACCAAGGGACTTCTCAGGGACATGTTGTGTCTTCTAGGGAATCTTTGTTGTTCATTATACTTTTAAATGTACATGCTGCTGTGATTATGGTATTGAACTAGGAATCTAGAAAGGGTTTGTACCCTTTGTTTTTAGCACCATGATTTTGTTCTCTTTGCCCATGATGGCTTTTCTTTCTCCTCTTCAAAAAAGAAACTACTCTCCTTCCAGAAATGTTGTGAAATTTAAGTGTATGATGCTCTTTTGACCCTTGGTTGAAAGTCTTGCTTGAGCATGTAGTGATGTTCTACCTACTCGACAAGCGGTTTGTAGTGTACAAGGGGACGGAGCTGTGTTCTGCTGGATTCTGGAAACACAGAACAGGGCTTGGCACTTCAAGTATGCTATATGAAATTTTCTTTCAAAGATACATAGTATTGTTTATCTATAGCTATACATTTTACATTCAAAGAATGATTCAGCTAAAGCAAGGACTGGTGGAAGTAGCTGGTAGATTTCACTACCTTCCTTTGTCACTTCTTTCTGCACTGCTACTTCAGAATTTTTGGAATAAAAATAGTCTGCACAATAATAACATTGAGCTCAGAATTTTTATATGAATTCAGAGGACAAACCACGAGTACTCTTTAATAAACAAACATTTAGGGTTCCA